AGGAAAAACAGAACCCACTGCTGCTTGCTGAGGCAGCCGGTGGCGTCTCAAAGATAGCTGGGAGTGCTGGTAGCATAGGGTCTGAGGAGAGAGTCCAAATAGCCAGATAATCCTGCTGTCAGAGTGCCAATGCCTGAGATGATGGGGCATCCAGGGTTTCCGGGTTTATGGATCTTGGGTAGCAGATAGAATATCCCTGGTCGGGGTTCTGGGGGTGTGTCCATGTAGATTTGTTCCTGTACTGTAGCTGGGAATTTCTTGAGCAGATGGTCTAGTTTCTTTTGGTATTCCTCAGTGGGATCAGAGGATAGTGGCCTGTAGAATGTGGTCTTGGAGAGTTGCCTGGCAGCCTCCTGTTCAAAATCTGACCTGTTCATTATGACTACAGCACCTCCTTTGTCAGCCCCTTTGATGATAATGTCAGAGTTGTTTCTGAGGCTGTGGATGGCATTGCGTTCTGTACGGCTGAGGTTATGGGACAAGTGATGTTGTTTGTCCACAATTTCAGCCTGTGCACGTCTGCGGAAACACACTATGTAGAGGTCCAGTCTGTCATTTCGACCGTCAGGAGGAGTCCACGCAGAGTTCTTCTTCTTGTAGTGTTGGTAGGAGGGTTCCTGTGGGTCAGTGCACTGTTCAGTGGTGCGTTGAAAATATTCCTTGAGTCGGAGACGACGAAAGTAGGCTTCCAGATCACCGCAGAACTGTATCATGTTCGTGGGGATGGTGGGACAGAAAGAGAGTCCCCGAGATAGGACAGACCCTTCTGCTGGGTTAAGTGTGTGGTTGGAAAGATTGACAATATTGTTAGATGAGTTGAGGGTACCATTGTTATAGCCCCCAGTGGCAGGTATTAGTTTAGATAGCTTACTGTCCTTTTTCCTCTGTAGAGAAGTGAAGTGTGCATTGTAAATGGCTTGTCTCATTTTTGTAAAGTCCAGCCACGTGGAAGTTTGTGTGGAAGGTTGGTATTGTATGAGAGTCTCCAGTTCTGAGAGCTCATTCTTGATGATGTTTGAAAACCCTGATCTATTGACAGCTAGGGCCTGGACGAATCAAGGGTGGTGGCCACAAATGCTGAAGTCTGTGTAAAGTGCCACTTTTGTTCAATTTTGACATGTTATACTTCGCATTAATCAGCTTGTTTTAATTTTACATGTTTTTTGTTTGAGAATCATCTCTTTTAACTCTTTAAGAATTAGTTTTTCATCGCATAAATATAGATGCAGCATACTTAGTCCTATCCCTCTTTCTGTGCACAAGCCACATTACACTTTTAATTATGTTCCTTTCACCAGGGCTACAAATTAAGAGCCATATACTACAGGGGATCTTCCAACGGTAACAAAAGAAGGTTTGCACAAAAATTGTGAGTAGTATATGGCCACTAAACTTTAAATTAGTAAAATTATTCTTACAGTAAGTATCATTTGGCTGAGAAAAATGATGCAGGATGCTTTTAGGATCATTACTATTTCTGTCCTTTGATTATTTGTTTATGCAATTAGCCAGTTTGTGTGTACAGTTGCAGTACTTGTACATGCATATTAGGCAGACACTTGTACATCTGTATTTGAAAATTATTAGCCTTCATTAGGCTAAAAAATAAACATTTCACAGGGGCAGTTCACACCTCTTTTACACCTGCTCTCTCAGCATTCTATTGCTTCAGATTTTATTTATCTATGCAATCGTAAAGACTAGAAGCATCAGTGCTGTCTTCTTTCTTTGTTTCCATTCTGCAGGATCTGGATGTGTATTGAAGTAAGGGGTGTGCATAGCTGCACTTAGCTAATGATATTTGACTCTTATTGTAGTAACACCCAGTTGGGAGAGGATTGAACCAACAATATAGTAGTAGTAGAAGTACCTGGAACTCTTGCTTCCTGATCATGTTGTCTGGTGAACTAAAAATACATAGATTTCTGCTTCTCCTGGTCTCAGAGCTCAGTTTTGTTGACTTTTGTACACCAAGCCAATTTCCAGATTATGGTTATATGTCTCGAATGGCATATGTGCAAGTGTTTGGTGTAGAAGAAAGAACATAAGAATGGCCATACTGGGTCAGACCAATGGTCCATCTAGCTCAGTGTCCTGTCTTCCGGCAGTGGCCAATGTTAGGTGCTTCAGAAGGAATGAACAGAACAGGCAATCATCAAGTGATCATCTCCTGTCATCCACTCCCAACTTCTGGCAGAAAAAACAAAACAAAAAAGTTGTGATAGGGTAAAATAAATGTCAAAACATACCATTCAGATAGTTTCCCATTCTTTGACTAGTGTAATAATTTTGCTTCTGAAAAATCTATTTTTCCATAGTATACATTTTGATTGCAAATTCTACGTAATAGAAGTTGCTGTTCTCCCCAGTGTGTCTCACTGTAGTCTAAGAGAAATTAATTAGAAATTAAAAGATTAAGTTCTAAGCTTATTTTGGTTGATTGGGTCCTTGGGGAGGAGAGAGGGTTTATTTATATAGGATAGATGCAGTTAAAACAACAAGAACGTGGAGAAATAACAATGATAAGAAGAATGGGAAAAATAAACAAGTTATCAAAAACTATAACAATAGACTCTGGATGGGACATGTAAGATTATTTATATTATATTAATTCAGAAGTGAACTAAATAACTTTATTTAAATGATAAAATGCATTTTTATGCTGTTGAAAGAGAGGAATTGTTCGATACTGTATAAAATAATAAAACCATATATGGGTCTCATGTCTAAAACACTACATTACCATTACAGCCATATTAGGGGATCCAGTTATTATGCAGCTCCATTTTGTGGTATAAATAGGACTTAACAAGCCATATTCTTAGATCTTGGTTTCTTTTGATCTGTCAATGAAGATGAGAGCACAAGTACTGATATATGTGTGTTTTATACTGATGTAAATAGCTACGCAAATTAGATACATCTCTCAGGCTCTTGGCAAGTTGCCAAACATGACTGTTGGGAAGTGTGGAGGGGGAGAGGGGGTCCTAAAGTTTTGTATCCATTTGGTTTAGCACATATTCTGACATGTTAATTTGTTATAATTTTCAGGTTAGTAACCTGATCATTTGGAAACTCATGTCATAGAGTTTAAGACTAGAAGAGACTACTAGATCATCTAGTCTGACCTGTATAGCGACCTGTATATCACAAGCCATGTAAACCAGTTGTTGCAAAATCCACACAGTGATGAAATACTGGATATGCAGCCTCGTTGACTGATGTGGAAATGCGGCCATCTGCACAACAATCAGATTGTTATTCCATATTGTTCACTGTTGACTACAGTAACTCCTCACTTAAAGTCATCCCTGTTAATGTTGTTTCAGTGTTACATTGCTGATCAATTAGGGAACATGCTCGTTTAAAGTTGTGCAGTGCTCCCTTCTAGTCGTTTGGCAGCCACTGCTTTGTCCACTGCTTGCAGGAAGAGCAGCCCATTGCAGCTAGCTGGTGGGGGCTTGTAACAAGGGTGGACCGGCAGCCTCCCTATCAGCTCCCCCTTATCAGCTCCCCGCTTCCCTAAGTTCTCTGTGCTGCAGCCGCCCATCAGGCTATCAATTGCTGGGCAGTTCAGCCGTCCCTCCCCCCACTGCCATGTGCTGCTCCTGCCTTCTGCCTTGGAGCTGCTCCCAGAGATTCCTGCTTGCTCTGCAGGGGGAAAAGGGAGGGGGGGTAATGTCAGGGTGTCCCCCTCCCACCTGCTCCTGCACTTTGCTTACCCCTTCTCCATATAGAGCAGGGAGGGGACACGGGATGGAGAGAGACAGAGACGGCTTGGGGCAGCAGCTGCTGTCTCAACTTCCTGATCCACTTAAAAAGACAATGCATTTAAGAGTGGGTCAGCTCACTTAAAGGGGCAGTATGTATCTCTCACACACAAGGTGTGTGTCTGTCTCTCTCTGCTATGCTGTCTCCCCTCCCTCATGTTTGTGCTGCCTTGTGTGAGAGGCTACATTAACAATGTGTTAACCCTTGAGGGCTCAGGCGAGTGCTAGTTCATCATTTAGCAGCAAAGCATTCCCTGGGAAATATCCCTCCCTCTTCCACCCTCTAACTTCACCACCTCAACCACGCTTCACAATCATCATAGCTGTGAACAGTATTAAATTGTTTGTTTAAAACGTATACTGTGTGTATATCTATATAATATATAGTTTTTTTGTCTGGTGAAAAAAATTTCCCTGGAACCTAACCCCCCCATTTACATTAATTTTTATGGGGAAATTGGATTTGCTTAACATCGTTTCGCTTAAAGTCGCATTTTTCAGGAACATAACTACAACGTTAAGCGAGGAGTTACTGTATTTTAACTCAGGCTTTAAACATAGATTTTAGTTGTTCATTTATATATTATAGTAGGATATAATACAAATGTTAAATATCAAAATAGAAGTACTCTATATTATTTCAATAAAATGCTTGCTACAAAATTATGGAACCAGAATTTTATCTGAATTTATTGTGGTGTCTAGCACTAGAAAAACACGAAATACAATGCACTGTGATTGTAAAGTAGAGGATAGCTAACTTTAAAATATGTAAGAATTTGGTGCATCATGTCTGTCGATGAACATTCTTTAAAAAAAATGTAATAATTGGAAGTATAGTCGGTTTTTTTCTCTCTGTATTTCTGTCTCTGCATTTTAAAGAATTTAAAATGTTTTCTCTTGGTTTCATCTTATTCCTTCATGTTATATAATTAAACTGATTTTAAATAGCTGTATCAACATTGCTTTCCTGGACCCACTGGATTGAAGAGAAGTTAAATATTTTTATTTTGGGCAATGAAACTTGTAATTGTCTGATAGTTGATAGTATTAGTATCAAACACTGAAATGACAGTTTGTGTTTTTCATTTTACTTACTATCTTGTTTGTTTAAACACTTCAGAATAAATGGACCCTGTTCAAAAAGAAGAAGAAATGTCATCAGATAAAACAACTAAGGGAAGTTGTGTTAGTTGAAAAGTAAATGTTTTATATTCCTTTCCAGACAAAATACAGATGACTGGATTCAGCATTCTTAATTCATGCTGGTATAAGCTAACTACTGATGTTAATCATAGTAATCAATAATAGAAATCTGTGTATAGAATACCCAGAGGATCTGTGGATTTTCTGTTTTGCACAGAGTCCTATTATTTTTTTGTGGGGGAAGAGGGGACTATGTACAAGACATTGTGTTGAGAACCAGTAACAACAGGAGTGGGAAGTCATTAAATAGTAAAGCTCTGTAGTTTAGAGTTGATATTTTTAGCTGCTAACAAAGGAAGTCTTCGATGTAAAGAACCAATAATGTCCGGAGGCTATCAAAAATAATTTAGTTAGAGGCTTGATCAGCTTAACCAATAACAAGCAATTCAGTCTATGTTCACACAGCAGATTTTCTCCTTTCACAACCATGTTTGCGAATCTGCTCCTATGTGGTATCTAACCATGTTTATACAGAACATTCTGAGAAAATCTGGGCAATTTATTCCATAGTGTTTCATCAGGGGATATGGTGCCCACGAGATGTGCATAAAAGGAAACATCAACATCATATGATCCAATGTGCTATGGGATGCCCTTTGCAATAAGGAGTTGGGAGAAAGGAGGACTGACCAAACAAGTACAGTTAGGGGGTCATATCCATACTGTATGCACACACACAAACATGCAGTGCTGAACTGGCTGTTAGATGAGCCTCTGGTAAAGGTGAAATGCTATTATTGTTATTAATAGACTTTTAACCATGTGATGTGTGAACACAAATCATGTTTGAGCTAGCCATGCCAGTAACTGGCTACTAATCTAGTTAATTTTTTTCCTTTTTGTCCTTTTTCTCCCATTCTGTTTGATATTTATTGCCCACTGTTTGTTGCTTCTGTCTTCTCCCCAATAGTTGCCTCTCACTTCTTGCCTCCTTGATGGTTGCCTCTCCCTGGTTATCTTACTTTCCTTACGTTGATTGCTTTTCTTCCTTGCCCTGCTTTCTCTTCCCTCTCCTAGTTGCTTCTGTTATGTGTTCCCATTAGCTTCCTCTCCTCAGCAATTTAATCCCCGCTTTCTTCCCCATATTCTGCCTCTTTCTTCTTATTATTATCAGGATCATGCCCCATTATGTAGGTGCAGTACAAACAGAGAGAGACATAGCCCATCACAAAGAATTTACAGTAGGACTTAAAACAAAATGCATCAAGTGGATGTAACAAATGGAGGTAATGGGGAATGGAAGTTAAGGCCTGATACCCGATAATGTGTGGTTTCATAGGTTGGCTATGTGCAGACTGATGGTTTCAAGTGTCTAAAAATTGTAGGATATAAACAAAAATGATAAATGTCAGCGGTTCCTATTCGATACTTCGCTCAGTTTCCTTCTCTGCTTATTTTCGTTGCTGTGCTGTCTTTGCCAGCAGTATATGGTACAAGGAGTGGTGGCAGCAGAAGACCTCTGGCTGTTACCACTTGAGTATCCGACCCTTAAGGTAACATAAGAAGGCTCTCTTTGTGGTATCCTTGTGCTGTGTATAACTATTTTAAGGCTGCAGAATGGTAGAACCCAGATTAGAACTTGGATTCTTTACAGGTTTGTAAAAGTGAGCATTAGGAAAGGTAATGCTGAGTCTGTGGGGTATATTATGGGCCTTGTCACTTCAGAGCAATACATGCAATAAAGAACTTGGTTGCAGTAATTTTTTTTAAGTGATATTCTATCCTCTTCAGTTACAGAAGATAGAGAGAAAAAATCCAAGGGGATTTCAGGAAAAAAATAATAATTTAAATTTAATCCTAAATTCTTCTACTAGATGGAACTTTAGGGACCAGGGGCATTGTACCTTTCAACTGGTCAGAGAGATTGCCGTAGAGTCATGTGAGATATTTTTATTTCCCAAGGATGATCAGGTTTTTTGCAGATCTCCTAGCACCTTGACTGTGAGGAAGAGGAGAATTTGGATTTCCTACATGGCAGTATAAAGCACTGATACTAGGCCTGTCTTTGGACCAGACCTTGAGAGAGTCTTGAATTATGGAAATTCTAACTCTCTATTCTCCATTGTCCTTATATTGCAGATCGAGACCAGCTGAGACATAGATTAGGTACCAAGGGAAAAAATGTGAGATTGACAGACCAGGTGCAGGAGTTGCATATCAAATTCAACATCCAGATGCTGCCACATCAAATTAGAGAAACCAGTACTGGCAGTCAAAACAAAAACCTGTCACTACTACAGAAAGCCCCCCTACTGTCAAAGCAATGTGCCAAAGCAATTAACTGATTTTTGGGTCTTTTGAGGTATGCTCTTGTGCACAGTGACAGCTTGACAAATTGTTTGGAGCATTGGCCTTTAGTGTTCTTTTAGTACTGAGATGTATTTTACTCCAAAGACATGTATCCTATAGATGATGATAATAATGTAAGCTTTAAGATTCTGTTTTCTAATTCTCCAGAAAAAGGATGCTCAAGAAGCAATTCTAAAGAAGAACGCTCTGAGAAGAGAAAGTGCTAGAAAAAAGGTGAATTTGTTAATGCTACTTTTAATGATCTATCTCTTTATTAGAACAGATGTTAGAAAATACTTTAGCTTGTAGAATCCAAGTATTTTGATGCCTTGAGCTCTGTATGTAATGGTACATATATAATTAATTGTGACCACTAGCTGTTGAATAGTAGTACTGAAAAATATCTGTACTTTAGATAAAAATCAGAGGGGTAGCCATGTCAGTCTGAATCTGTAAAAAGCAACAGAGAGTAGTGGGCATTCACCCACGAAAGCTTATGCTCCAATACATCTGTTAGTCTTAAAGGTGCCACAGGACTCTCTGTTGCTCTTTAGATAAGAGTATCTTATACTAACAATATTTTGTTTTATTTAGCCCAAATACATTCTTTAGCACTAAAATGCCCAGTTTAAAATTGGCTGTGAACGTAATTTTCTCACAAGCATTTGACTTAATTTATCTACATGGCAATGTATATAACTTCCCAACAGAGCTTATGTGCACAGGTATTCCAAAGTCCAGACTTCATACTGATAGCAGAGTTGTCCTCTCAAGAGATAGGTTATGTCATATTTAAAAAGAAATCCCTGCATGTGTTAATAAAACCTTAGATTGTTAAGAGTGAAAATGGTGAAAATCTAAATTTCTTTTCACCAGTTATGCTGCTTCTAGACAGGTCAGCTTAATTTTCCAGTTCTCATGGATTTGTGTGATGCTGTTGTGCCTGGTTTGCAAAGTTTGTAGGGGGAATGTTTAAATCAAAACTAAACACAAGGTGTTTGAAATTATTTAGAAATATAACTTTATAAACAAAATACTAATTTTGGCCTACATTTTTGGACAGTGCCTCTTTAACTCTGCTATCCCTTCGGCTAGGAGGAATAGATACGAAACAGTTAAATTGTTTGTGATTCTCTGTTTCATAGATTGTTAGTGTTTAAGGCCAGAAGGGATCATTAGATCTTTTAATCTGATCTCCAGTATATCTCAAACTATTAAATTTCACCCAGTTACCCCTGTACTGGGCACAATAAGTTGTTTTGCTAAAGCATATCTTCCAGAAAAGCATCCGGTCTTGGCTTGAAGACATCGAGATGGACATTTTACCACATCCGTAGGTAGTTTGTTCCAGTGGTTGATCATCCTTGCTGTTAAAAATTTATGTCCAATTTCTCAGTTGATTTTGTCTGGCTTCAGCTTCCAGCCATTACTCATAGACTCATAGACTTTAAGGTCAGAAGGGACCATTATGATCATCTGGTCTGACCCCCTGCATGATGCAGGCCACAAAGCCGTCC